CTAAGCCTTTGCAAAGCAATGCCTGGTGAGGCAAGAGAAGTGGACTGAGGAGAGACACTAGCAGAACTACACTTTAGCACCCATGGGATGGTGTCTGATGCTTCCTGAGGAACTCCCTTGGAGCAGAGAAGTAGGACTGGGCACCAAGAGGGAGTTCTCAAAAATGCAGCCCCTTTGTACAAGTCATTCCTCTCCCTCTGCCTTTCCCCACCCACAGAACCCATTTCCTGCAGCCATTGCCCCACCAATAAATGTGATTTTATCAAGGGAAGATGTAAGGCCAGTGGGTTGGAAGCAAGAGATGTCCCACCAGGAACACTCACCCTTTTTCACGGCTTCCTTTTCAAGTGAGACAAGCAATGCCTTCCGCTTCTCCTCCTTCCCAGCCAGGGCAAAGGCGTACGCCATCAGTGCCTTGGTGTACACGTGGTTTTCTTTCTCATCTGCTGCCGTTTCCAGGCAGAACAGAGCATTACGCACCACGGAGTGCTGAGGGGAGATAACCAGTGAGTAGAAATCTGGGGAGAAATGAGGTTTTTTCCTTACTATCAGCACAATTTTCCACTGAACTTTGTGGAGGGGTCTGCTAGAATGAGGTCTAGGACAAGTAGGGTACAGTATGTTCCAGAAATGTCAAAATCGACAGCACATAATTCTTACATCACAGGGCTCAACAATCAAATCCTTTTTCCAACCTGGAGCAAATTCTGGTCCGTTCTATGGCATCATAAACTGACACAACATAACTGACTCAAGTTAGAGTGCAGCCACATACAGTTACAAGCAGAGGAATCTCCAGCAATGCGATAGTGATGTAGGCTGTCAGTGAGACCTCGTTGTCCACTCCACCCTGCAGGGAAACAAAGGTAGATACTGACCCCACCTAGGTTTTTATCTTCAGTCTTTTCTCCCACTCCATTAAGAATAATTTATTCTGCATTGTAGACCCTTAGCTTGCCTCCTCCCACTTACAGCTGATGTGGAGGTATCAATACCACTTAAAAAAGCAGGGTAGCCTTCATTCTCATTCCTATTGTGGCGATTGTACAGAACGGCGTCTGGCTGCCTAGTGCTTGCCATTGACATGGGAATTTCCCATCTGCCTGTATGCTCAAGAAGCTCAGCTGGACCCATCTGACTCATGGCCAAGTTGTAGCCTCACAAAAAAACAACCAGGCAGACATGTTACCTTCATAGCATTGTTCAGGAGTGTTCCAGAACTGTGGAAACAGCCGTTCTCCTTCTGTTTGTAGGACAGCCAGACCAAAGCATCCTGGATGTGCTTCTCATCTATGAAGATGTGAGGCCGAGCCTGCGCAAAGGACTTGAGGACAAAGGCTGTGAGCCTGAAAGGAAGAAAGAGCAGTGAAAGGGCCTGAGCAGGCTTGTTGTTCATCTCAGGTGACAGGGCCCATGTGCACATCATCTGTCTGGAGAAAGGAAAGAAGGCCTGGGGAACTGTGGACCAATTAGTCAGACCACATGTATATTACATCTTCACCTCAAAAAAATCTATCAAAAAACTGCTTCCCACCTTGATTTCTTGTCCTACTCTTGGCTTGTAAAACCCTGTGATCCCTTTGTGTTGAAGCTACAGTTTGAAAGACAGTGATTGTTGATCTGTAAAAAAAAAATCCTCTTGGAAAAAGTATACCAATTAGCTGAAGATCTGCATAACAGTAATACTCAAAATTACGGGGAAGAATAATTAAAACCCTACTAGCTCATGGTCTGCTGGCAGGACTCTTGCATTAGAAATCCATGCCTCATGGGTTTCCCAGAACTCCCTAGAGTTTTAAAGTAAAGAAGAACATATTAAAAGAGCTTTTGCTAGGGTTGTTACAAGCAGTTATGGAGACAAAGCAGTTATGTGGTGCGAAGCCAACTACTGTTTCAGAAACTAAAAGCAAACCAAAGCTGATTAAATCATCCATTCTTAGTCTTACCTAGTTGAAAATGCATGGCAATATGTTGGAAAACCTCAAAACTTTGCAGTAAGTCACACTGGCAAACACACTCTCCTCCAGGCTGACTTTGCTTAGTAACACACAAACCCTCTTGAAAAAAAACTATACAGTACTGCTTTGGGATTATCTTCCGTTCCACTTATATGGAAACACGCTTCCCAGCAGCCTTCTCAGCAGATGCTAGTCTAGAAGAGCTGACACTGCAGCTCTTCAGCCTTCCTCAGTCAGGATGTGAAATCCCTGCTCCCTTCTTTCTCAGTTTATCTCCATTTCCTTCTTGTCTGTCATGGTCCCCAGAGATGCTGGTGGGAGGATGTGCTTCAGCTACATAACTGGCTGATGCAGCCTATTTCATCAAGTAGGGGGCAGCACAGTGACCACACCAACTCTGGAAAGCCTGCCGGTCTACAACAGCATTTCCTATTTATTGTCATGCAGCATTTATTATAAATGTGTAGGTGAGAAAGAGGAGCATACAGAGGAGGCATATGTGACATTGAAATCTCACCAGGTGTTCCCCACTTGTCCATAACGTGGTCCAAAAGTACTATAAGAGCCATCTGGGTGCTTGTAGTTCAGCTGCCTCTGATAACCTGCAATGGAGAGTTAAAGCAAGATTCAGATGCCAGAGAAAGTCTGCTGAGGGATGGGGGAAGGGAAAAACAGCTGTATCAGCAAAGGCAAATGAGAGAGAAGGTCAGTCCTAGCCAATAAGAAGCACTGATACATCCCCACAGTGTTTGTACTGTTTGAAGAGAAGCAATACCTGCCTTTCATCAGAAGGAAGGCAGGACACATTAATGACAACGGACAAGTCACTATAGCAGGTCACCTGACAACTCTGCACTGCATTGCAACCCAATTATGGAACAGAGAAAAGTGGCTGCAATGGTCAGACACCTTAATGCTTAAGCAACAGAAAATAGTGAATGAAAAAGCAGTGAAGGGCCTTCTCAGGCATACAGCAGAGACCATATGTGCATGAGAGAAGCTCTCTTTTCACATCTGACCAACATTTGACAGAACAACCCCAAGCAGGATCTGGAAAAAAGCCAAAGCAGAAGCAAAAGCCCTGTCCCAGCTCACCGCTCACTAAGTATCCAATGGCCTTGGATTTGACCTCCTCACTCAGCTGCCCTGTCTTGTTCAAATAGTCCAGGACATAGATGTTGGGTGCAAAAAGGACCATGTTCTGCTCTCCACAGCCGAATGGCATCTGGAGGAGCTGGTGCAGGTTCTGCATGGCAGTGCCCATGATGTCACCTGGGGAGCAGGAGATACCAGAGAGATACTAACAATATTCAGGGCTGGCTGTTAGATTCAGAGGGAGCTACTGAAAGAGAGAAGCAGATGATGACAGAGAAGAACAAAAGAATCTGGATTGATAAAGATCCTGGAATGAAACACAGAACAGCAGAGAAAATAAAAGAGGGAGATGAGAGGAAGGTTAGGGCACTGGGAAAGAATCTTCAACAAAGGAACATGCAGAAAGGGGAAAGGAAGAGCACAACTGGAAAGTGCTCAAGACAGAAGGGATCAAAGTCAGGAGTGAGGTATGCTGGAAACCAGGAGAAAAAGCTGTGAGATAGGAGGCCAACAGAGGGAAAGAAACAGCACATGGTTCTTCTACCAGGCTGTTCACTTACCCAGCACGGAGAAATATGCTCTGCCTGAGTCTTGTACCACATTTGACGGTAGCAATAGGGAAAACTTCTCTTTCACAGGCACTCCTGGGGGAGAAACAAGACCCAAAGAGCTTCAGTGCAGTCCCAAGAAATGGCTAATAGAAGGGGAGGAAGCCTCAGTGAAACAACAGGAACACTTCCTATTAGAAACACCCTGACCTCAGTCACTTCATTTTTCCCTGTCTATAAGGCAATTTCTGCATTAAACAGCCACCAGTCACTGTTAGGCACTGTAGATTACGTATCTACAGCTTTTTCCTGGGTGCACTAGAAAACAGGAGACAGCGCTTGTAACTCCAGTGTCAGCGCACAAGAGAATAGGGATGCAAACAGTCATGCTAAATCTGTCCTAGCTCATACCCTGATGCTTAGTCAGGGTGGTCCAATCTCTAGGGCTTTCTTCTGTCTCACATCTCAGGCTGCCAACTGATGGGGCATGGTTTGATTACCTAAAAATATCAGCCTATCTGGAATATGAACAGAGGCAGCACTATCTTCCTCCACCAGGCAGGTCCCACTCATCAAACCACACAGGAACAAATGGAGAGGGTGGGAAGAACGAGATTTACCTTTTACACAAAGCACAGAGTTCTGGGCTGTTTCCTTCTCAACTCCTTCAGGCTTGGGTGGGATGAAGGAAAACAAGAGATGTGAGAAGTTAGTGAGACAGAAAATATAGCCAGAGAGGGGAATCCTTAATACAGAGGGATACATGAAGAAAAAAGTGAGTGAACTGAAGAAGGAGAGGCAGTAACAAACACTTCCTGAAATACAGAGCTTTGAAATAATAACTTAAGCAAGTAAAAGAAATATGATCCTAAGTGACTGGTGTTGTATGTGGAGGAAGGACAGGAAAAGGAGAGGAGAACACTGCAGGACTATCACATGGCTGACCTGCACATATTGTGCGCAGCGAGAGACACTTAACATCCTTGTAACGAAAGGACTGCAGCATTACTGCAAGTGCTTTTGTTAGCAAAAGCTCACAGTAGCTCTAGAGGGCTGTCCTGAAGAGATGTCTGCAGTACTATTTATCATAATGCTGCAGATGCTTTAGGGAAAAAAAATGTGTCTGTTCATAATAGAAAGGGAAGATGTTGTACACTGTAGTATCTGGTGACACTTCTGACACCATACAACATAGTAGGCAAACATTAGGGATTTTTATGATACAGAGAAAAGCTAAGAACATAGAATCTACCTGTCAGACTACCACACCCAGTATAATAAACCAGGATTTTCCTATAAAGGATATGCAATACTGCCACATAATACTTTCTTCTGTACCACATCGCATCAGCAACTCTTCTTGCCACAGGAAAGCTGTAAAATTTTAACATATTTTCATGGACTTTTATAATATCAGGAGTTTTGAGGGGACTGCTCTACAGGCATTGAATTCCCATAGGTGCTTGTGAATTCCCCACCTTCATCCTGGTGTCAGACTATAGTAGCAAACCAGAACTGAATAACACTCAAGTTAAAAGGCAGTGTCTTGGCCACTCAATGAGCAGAGAGACAGCATGTGCTGATTGGCAAACTTACTGGGGGTGTCTCAAAAGGAGGAGAGAGGCTGTAAAGTGAGTGTACTGAAATAGGAGGTGATAGGTAGGAGATAAAGAGAAGAATTGACTGGAGTAGGAGTCCTGCTACAGTAGGGGATAGGGAAAGTTTAGAGTACTGGGAAACACATTGCACAGCATTATTAACCTGCAGTCCTTATGCATCACTGCCAAAGTATAAAGATGATATAAGATCATCATATTGCCACACTGTGTACTGATCTCATACAATCATAGACCAGCCCAGATTAGAAAGGACCTCGAAAGGTCATCTGGTCCAACCTTTCATGGGAAAGGTAGCCTAGATGAGATTATCTAGCATCCTGACCAATTGCATCACAGCATACACTCTAGCCTGTGCAAAAGATCAGTCCTCCCTTCCCACAGCCCACATACCTCCACCAGCAGCTGTTTGATGACTGTGTCCTTCCGCCCTTTCTCAGGGGTCTCCACGATGGCATTCTCACAGGGCTGTTGGTTCTGCAGGGCCTCAGTGCTCACTGAGAACTCTACCTGCCCTGGAGGAAACAGGAGTCAGCCAGCCCTGCTGGGTAGTGCCAGGGAAATGGGAGTCACTGTGACTTCCAGGAGTTTCAAATTGCAGGCCCATGGATGTAGATTTTCTGTCACACCTGGGCCCTGATTCTTTGCCACAACATAGCTATCTATATCAGAAGCCATCCTGGAGCAGATGAGCTGCACTACCATTGAAAGGTGACTATTTTGGTGACTCTTTTCCAGAACCTAGGACACCACAGTGGTGGGACGCACCAGCCTCACTGCTGTTCAGACACTGCTACGCTGCATGCACACCACAGCTGCTACCATAACACCTAAAAACAACAGTGAAAACAAAGTATGAAGATCTCTTGGGGCAATCACCTAATATCTGGGAGGAAAGAAGCTGATAGAGTGTCCCTGCTGGCCAGCAGTGTCTCTGGCTTCAGAAGATGTTGTCCAAGAGCCGTAAGGCTTGATGGTACTGCGTGTTGTGCCAGACATAGCCTTGGACACGCCAGCCTTTGCCTCCCAAACAACCCCAGATGAGACAGATACTCAGCTGCAGTGCTTCCCAGGAAACTGTGTTGCTCAAACACCGAATGAGAACAGCACAGAGAAACCCGCCCAGCAGTTTTCAGCACCCTGAGACATTTACCTAGAGATTTGGGAGTCACCAGCCAAACCACAGTTTTCCTCCCGTTCTCACAGAGACAATGAGATTCTTCCTCCTTTTCCACTAGAGTAGCCAGGAAATGAGTAGACTGAGCCAGAGTCACACTGACCTACCAGTTGTAGAGAGAGGTGTAATCAGCTAAGGGTAATCATGAGAGACAGGGAGCTAGGAAGCCATAGCAATAGCTGTCTCTTCATTAGCAAAGGAGCAGGGAGCTGGAGTTGTGGGTTTTGTATTTGGACTATATAGGAGGAATAACATAAGAATTTCAGGGGTGAAGAGTCTAGGGATACTCAGAGATAAGATAAGAAGGCTAGGTGAAGGCAAGAGGTGTATAAGAAGTTACACAAGTACAGAGAAGGATATAAACCTTCCTTACCCTGATGCAGGCAGTCAGGTAGTTGAAAACGGTGGCTTTCAGTGTGAAGGACTCACCACGCACCACAGAGTAGGGCATGGTGAGCTCTACGAAGAAGGGCTGGAAGGCTCTGAGGGACACTGTTGTGGACAAACCAAAGCCCGTGTCTGCCGAAGTGCAGAATGCATTGGCTTTCCACTCAGTGATGGTGTCAGGGATGGTCACATCTAGATCAGCATTTCCCTCAGAGCTGGTGAAGCACAGACAGCAAGGAGAGAAAGATGATTTTTATGGCATTTTGGTGACTATCTGTACCCCTTTTGGCCTACTGACCAGTACTGCCTGTGTGAATGACGGGGCACAGTACGTTTGTAACTGTAGGGCCACCCCACATCTTCTTCCAGACCCATGACCACTGCTTGGACAAACCTAACCACAGCTGAAGGTAATTCCATCTCAGATGATTTCCAAGTGATCTTTGCAAATGGTGAAGGACTTTTTGGCATTGAAAAGGCTTTGCAAACATGTGGGAATTCATGTTTCCACCTTATAAAACCAGTTTTATTAACAAAGAAGGAACTAGCTTAAGGTGCTCACCTTATAGATACTAAACTCCAAATCCAAGTTTCTGGAAAATACTTCCGGACTGTCTCCGTCAGCTCTTCAGGAGTGCTTAACATGTTATAAAATCTACCTGACTGAAGGCCTGAATGTAATGAGATGGAAAAGAAATCAACTACCGATAATTCCAAACAAGTAAGACCTACATCAGCATCATGCTTCGGTTTGAGAAAGCAGCAATCTATGTAGCAATCAGAAACTGCTGGCAGCAGATGTTTACTGTGGCTGTAGTGATCACTGGTACCAAGAGAAGTGAAGTTTCAGGGTCCCGGCTTAATAGCAAGAGGAGCTAGCCTTCCATTATTTCCCACTGGTCTCCAGCAAACCTCAAAGGTAGGGCCGCACTTCTCAAGGTTAAAACAAAGATGTTAGAGCGAAGAGCTATTTGTGACCTCCTGTGCAAGCTGCCTTTTTCCATTCAGGTACAGTGTTAACAACCTTCTCCATCCTATCAGGCCAGCTAGCAATGGAACATCTCTCTGTTGCAGTGCTTTTTGTAGGGTCACTGTGACTCAGAAAACCACTTCCCTGCCAAATTTATGGCCTCCTCAAGAACTAAGCTAAAGATGCTCCAACTAAAAACATGCAGCTGGAATTTGGGAGTGGTAAAAATAGACTTTTTGACTAAAAATTTTCACATGCAAAATTTATTCCCAATAAAATGTTCTGAGTTTGGATGAAATTTGGTAAAAAATAAGCCTTTATCTCACTTTGTTTTTGAAACTGGAAAACAAAGATGAGGTTGGTGGGACTTGGTTTGCTTGCCTTTTGCAAACAGAAAGAGAAATCTACCCAAACAGACAAAGAAGAAAAGTTCTTAACTAAATTCTAGGTTTTTTCATCTTTACTTTGGCTAAATCAGTTTCTACATTTGGATAACAATTGTGTAGCTAGCAAGTATGCGTACTATCTGTACAACAGGCACCTCCAGAGTCTGAGAAGGTCTCAAGGCACGACTGAAAGGTTCTATCAGAGCTGTATCACAAAGCTCCTAGCAAGGATGACATGTGGCTTGCTTGCACTTGTCTGTCATGGTATTTCAATCTTCTTACTGCTGCCTGTTTCAGTTTAAAATAATCAAAAAGCATCTATCCTGCACCTCAGCAACTTCTGTCAGAAGTTGAAATTGTCTTAAAACTGGACGTGTACAAAAGCACAGGTTCTTGTGCCAAGCAAAAACTCTCTGAATCAGTTATCCAGTTAGAATAACTTAGATTTTCTAGGATATTTCCCTTAATGAGACTCTGGGGGATGATATGGCCAATTCTGTCGTCCAAACAGCTACAGTGTAAGAGTTGAGATAGCTTTTAGAAATAAGGTGGGTCCATTTGAGACTGGACTTCTACCACACGCATCTTACCATTTTAAGCCCCCAAAGTCTACCAACTTGTCAACGAAAATTTTGTCATCCATTTCATCTGGTATTGGCCATATATAAAACTGGATGAGTCAATGAGGACAGATTGAAAATGGTATTGGAGACCCCTGAAGTGATATCTGGGAAAAGAAGTCAACAAAGAGCCTAGTGAACAGAGAATTAAGCGGCAGAATAATATCCTCTGCTCTGCCAGGGTCTTTGAAAACTACCTGGTTTTGCTGACTTCTAATGTGGAGTGATCAAAGCTTGTCTGTAGACCTTCACAATGCTGCAAAAGAGATAAGCCTCACACTCATGCGGAAGCTAAAATCTGTGAACGCAGTACTACTTTCAAGGGTTCAGTTCAACACCCCAACTCTTGTTTAGGTATTCACCCCAAAATACAGACAGGATCTCTGCTCAGAACAGAGTTTGTAACAAAACCCAGTTCCTTTACCGCTTGTCCTCATCGCATGCATAGGTGCTCCAGACATGGCTGAAGGTGATGGAAGGTGGGCTCCTGTAGGCACGTAATTCTCAGTGCTGCAATACCAAGGTTTCCTCACCTTGGTATTTGTGAAAATCTTTAAACCCATTTCCTACAGGAGAGAAATCCAACATGTTTTTTTGTTACTGATTCCTGCAAAAAATGCTGAGGTTTACACAGCAGACCTGACATTGGTATTTTACTGTCTCAAAAGGAGAAGCTATTACTGTCTATGAATTGGACCTTGAGATGGCCCTCCCAACCCTGGGTCTGGGTGCCTGGGTGGCTCAGAGAGACAAAAGGACAGATCCCCTCTGTTTCTAGGGCACTGGTTCCAGTCCAATTCCAGCCTAGGGGCCAGGATGAGCCAGGGAGTAGATAGACAGCTTTCTCTCTGTAAGAAAATGTCTGTGGCTACGATGCAGCTTGAGGACAGATCAATTTATTTGGGGTAACTGTAATGGCACAGAATTATTTACCTTCTGTTAGAACCTCATTTCAAGTCAACCTTAAAGCTTTTCCCGTAAGAAGAAAACTTTGAGATTGATACCTTTTCCACCAAGTGGGGAGCAAAGCTGACAGGACAGGCGAAGCTTAGGACTCTCACTGAACTTGCGTGTGGATAAAAATTAGTGTCAGATCATCCAGATTCACAAACCCTTCCCTTGTTACATTGCATCATGCCACAGAAAGCTCAAGCATTCTCAGTCCTTCTCCCACTCCACTCCCTAATCATGCAAGAGGGCTATACCTTTAGGATGCTATAAGTGTCCTCTTCATTTGTCTCCACTACTGGAGAATAGGTGATCCCATTCAGAACTATCTTCTTCAAGGGGATGCAGTTCTCCAGGGGCTCCTCCAAGAGCATGTCTGGACCATGGTGATAGTCATGCAATTCCTTCACTGGCAGCAAGCTATACACCTTAGGCAGAAAGAGTTAGGGTATTTGGCATTTTCAGTGTCCACTGTCATAAAACACAACTGAGGGAGTTGGATGCAAGCAACATAACAGTCACATCACCTGCACATACATCCACATTGACATAGTCCTCCCTGTGGTGGGAGCAATGGGAATTTTGGAGTGAAAAAAGACATCCAAATTTGGAGATACTGCCTCTTTTGTGTGAACAGCATGTTACTCTGGTTATTATGGCTATATATTATGTATTTATATATAATATATAG